AAAGTTGTTGATGATAACACATAGGTGATAAAAATGGCTTTTCAATCAGATGAAAATACTTTTTATAAACATTAATTTATAATTCTTGTTTTTTGTTTTGTATGAAATCCACCAGAATGGGTTTTTTTTCCATTAACACTGTAGCTAATTAATTTATCAAACCTTGACCATCTTACATTACAATTTATTCATTTATTTAAGGTAGAACTTCCTGAAAACTAGTGTCACTGATTATTCTAGGATATTTTGAAAAGATTTCAGTGTATTTAACTGCAAATTTTCATCGTCAGATGATTACTGTGCGTTGGTGGTTCAGTGGTAGGATGCTTGCCAAACACTCATGTGGTCCGGAGTTCGACTCATAGTTGATGCATGCCTAAGCCTCGTCAAGTTTACTAGTCGATGGTGAGCTTGGAAAAGAGAGAAGGCTGGACATGAGACTAGTAGCCTCACCTTTTCAAAACAATATGTCTATTGAAGCCCTATGTTCCATTTTAAATGCAAAAGAATGAAAGAAGTTGTGAGTTATAGAACTTCAATGTATTCCACGTGTTGGTGATTGAATGAGAATCCTACGGAATTTTAATGAAGCTTGCAACAATTTCTATGATGTAAATAGTGGTTATGTCTGATAACAAAATTAAAGATAATAAGGGAATCCAGCTGATGAAAGTGTGTATGAAACATCATCAGTCAGAAAAAATGGAACAAATGTTTTCTATTTATACAACACATATGATAAATTAATCAGATCAAGTGTATGAGAGTTATGACTTACTTTAGCAGACATCAGTAATTTTATTGTTCACAATGCAACTGACTAAATTTTCCAGTAATTTAATACAGAACTTGATATGGTTTACGCGTCAAAAATAAACTTTTACTGTTCGCTTTGATAGGATTAACGGAAGGTTGACATACGATTTTCCAGCTGCTATTTCTATGAATGTAGAGCAAGACAACTAATGCAACGTGGCCTACACTACATGAACCAAAAAAATAAAATGGGCACCAAAAGCTGATAAAGTTTGTACTGCAACTTTTTTTACTGTGGTAAATAATTGCTCAACGTAAAATTAAACACTGAAATGTGGCAATTTAAGTGCACGTCAGAATATATTCAGATTAGACACAATACCTGCCTATATTAACCAGCTGTTCGTTCAAAATGATATTCAGACGTCATACAAAAGGTCAAAATCTGATATTAAACTGAAACCGATCAGAATGCCTTATAAACATACACAAGTGAATAAACAGTAGGAAGCAGAAATATTCCCAAATACAATCTGAATTAATTTCAGTTCTATTAAGAATGTCAAAAGAAACGATACTGAGAATTAGTAAAGCTTTGTTATTTAGACTTTATAAAAGCGGTTGCTATGCACGTTGTTTTTATTTATAATATAGCATCTATACAACAAACTGTAAGTTGATTTATTACGTCGAAAATGTGTAAACTCCGCACAATAACATCATTGATTTACATGCAGTTTATTTTCAAACGCAAATGGTATATATAATACATTTTTGAAGTAAACAAATTCAAACCTTTGTTTCAATCTCCTCAAAGTATATAATTTCTTAGAAAATAAAATAGAAGTTAAACGCTAATGATGGAAAAATCAAAGTATCAAAAGGAGAGAAACTTATCAAACGCAAATAACTTTTTGCAGTATTTAGATTTCAGTATCCTATAAATATATTTTAGTGAGGAATGAATCAAACAAGTGCTTTTGGTGGCCTGCTTGAATCACTGGACTACCTGCTACTCCCTGCAAAACACTGCATTATATTTTCTCTAATTCTTATTGTCTTGACCATTCAGTTATGTCCTTGAGTCACAAAATGTACTCAAAAAATATTTTCAGTTTGCTTTCAAAATACCCGTGAGCATTTCACGGAGATGAAGGGAAAATAGCATAAGGGATTAGTCTGTGCTTCATATCTTACAGTATGGCGTCATATGAAATACTATAGAAATCTATTTTACTTGAAAATCCAGGATGAGGAGAAAATATTATACCATTAACTTCGCTGAGAAATCTGTTCGCTGTGTAAAAGTTTTGTTCATAATAAGGCTATTATTATTTAGTGTAGAACAGAATAATAAATAATTTATTTGACTGCAGATCTAATCCATTATATTACACTGAGGGATCGATAAATGAATTCTATATAAAAATCTAAAATACATCTGACAAATTTGTAATTACCCCAAGAATTTGATGTCGGAAAACTAAGAGAGTAAACTTGTTTTTTGGTAGTTTTACACAAGTTAAAAAAAGAATCTTTAAAGTTTTGTTAGAAGTAGATTTCTGGATAAGTAATTTTACGCCGACTGTTTCATGTCACACCCAGAAGTGAATACTCTAAAAACAAGTCATAAATCAATTTAAATTCTTTAAGCAATATATGGATGATATTTTCATCATTTTCGATGAATTTATTGATAGAAATAAAATCTTTACTATATATAAATATATATTCACTATTTCAAAAACTTTCAGTTATGACTGATTAGTGGTAAAGAATCCTACCATGATGTGACTAAACTTAAAACCAAGTGAGAAAAGATAAGCTTAAAATCACGCTTAAGAGTAATCACTGCATGAAACATTCATGAAGCTAATGAACCTAATTAGAAGTAAATCAATAAATTCTCTTAATTCATCAGCATCTCATAAACAAATAAATTTACTATTACTGGAAACAGCAATTCACTAAACCACGATAGTTCTTCGTACACGAAAACCGAATTAAAAACTGTAAGATATTTTCTTGTTTGGAACATATGACATATGTAGGCAGATTACTATGAGAATTATTGCATAGTATTTATAAGGATAAATATTATATTTTACCTTTAAACAGTGCTACTAAATATAACTAAACGTATCTGAAGTGCTATTTTTGTAAGTCTTATATCACTCTTCGATGTAAAACTAACTACAAATACCACAAGCATTCTAAAGACGCACGAAAGAAAGTACTTTCTAGTTTCTATTTGTCCTCTAACTGATGTCTGTTCGTGATCTAACTTCACATCAACCAAATAGGTGTAAAACAACATATCGTAACTGAAAAGGTCGGTGGCACAGTGGTTAGGACTCTCGCCGACCATGCACATGGTCCGGGGTTCGATCCCCTGCCGACGCACACCCGATATCTATGGTCGACCTGCAAAATTTGGGCTACCGATATCCATGCTGAAAATTCCATACTTGTACTGAAAATACGGTGTGGCATCAAGCTGTAATCAAAAAAAAAAATTTTTTTAAATAAATTAATTAAGCAGCCAATGAAATCTTACCGACATATATGAGGCTGCATTTCTGTCCCAAGTGGAATTATTACTAAGTTACAATTTGATAGGAGCTGGAAAATATATAGCACTGGATTAGGAAGCCAAGTTTATACGGTATGTTTATTTCAAGACCTGGTGGTTGACAGTTTAACAGTACATAAAACTTTGTTTGCGCACCGCTGATTAGTCGTAAACAGAATAAAATAATTCCCCGATTTCACCTAGTGTTCAATCACGCTTACACTTATTTCTCTCTGTCATAGAAATTTGTGCATACATAGAATACATCTCGACAAAATCTATAATCTCATTACTTCGCCATAATATTTTCTTCTTGACTTTGAATATTTCTTTATTCGGTCCACAAACAATGTTTATATCGTGTACAACCATCTCATATAACTTGGGAATCATACAGATGCAGCTATTTTTTTTACTATTTTATGTCTTACAATTATACAGAAAATGTTTCTAATCACAAATCTATAAACAGAAAGCAGACAATAAACAGTTCTACCATTATCAAGCTTAGCACGAGAATAATCACACACCAGAGCATATAAGTCAATGGATATGATAATGTTTAAGAGAATTTTTTGCAATGTAAAATAAATTCATTTATCATATGAATGGAACAAAACTGAGACAACTGGTATAATTGAAATATTATCAGAATTGTAAATTATCAGTGTTCGTAAACATCTATTAAAGACACATAATAAAAAAAAACACATTTAATTCTTGCATTTTGAGTGCAGAGATTGTAAGACATCTTTCTCCGTTTTGTTATATTTCTGTCTGATATTTTTAGCCGAAAATACGGAAGTTGGAAATTTCTGGTTTAGTAAGAGGGTGGAAACGATGAATTTTAATAGATAACTGAAAAGAGATGTCTCATTGTCAGTCTTAATGGCATCATCAGTAAAAATCTCACTGAGGAAGAAAGAATATTTCGAAATCATACTGATAAATAATAGATGTTTACATTTTTTCAAATTCTGCTCAATTATGCACGAAAAGCAGTTCCTTTCACATTGACGGTTTCAACCTTCATTATGCTGCATTACTAATTTACTTTGTCAAGTTTCATTATTTCAAAATGCACTATTCTTCTAATTAACATATATATATATATGATCTATTTCTGCGTGTCTAGTTCCCGTGGTGTATCTTCCGTTTTTGTTTGACGAAATGACATTTTTCCACCGCAGACTATAATTAATCATGCGTTTCATGTCAATTTAGCATCTGTTTCCGCTCAATAATTATTTTTAAATATTGAAAGCCGGTGTCAGTTAATAACTGTGAGGATCTATATTAATTTTTATCTACCTTTCATGGCACGGAAAACTGTTTAGAAACCTCATTGGTCTGCATCTTGCTCACATTATGAACAGATCAAACAGTTGACTGACTATATCACCGCTGTATTCATTGGGACTGAAGTAACCCTTTTACTGAGATGAAGTAATTGTGGTTTTCTCTATATTGGGATAATTTCTTCTAGATGAAATTACAGAAAATGACCTTTGCCGTATTGTATTAAATCCCATCCCTCATAAAACTTTAATTCATAGAGTATTACTCGCCTGATATTGCTAACAATTCCATAAATACTAAATGCATAAATGCAACTAAATAACAAGAATATAATTCTAGTTAAACTGTTCGATTATTAAGTAGAAATAGTTTAATGTTAGATAATGATGAAGAATTTGAAGCAAAACGCATGGTCGATAATACAGTTGCGACTTTTTTGAATAATGAATCAACTCAGGTTTTTCTTTCAACTATACTCGCCACTAAGATTATAAGTACACTTGATCAGTTGTACTTATTACTGATATTTACTCACAGGAAATATACGATGATGAGAAAAACTCTGTAACAACTTACTGTTTACAAATTCAAGCTTCAGACTACAAATCACCTAATATGGAACAATTTACTGATAATAGACATAATGTAAAGTAATGCGTTCAATGTACTAATAATTTTCTGATGATGAGAAAACTCTTGATGGAAATCCAAAACGACTAAGTCGGACAAATTATCACTTAACGCCTGATACATCTTTTTAAAATTTCAGTGGTGTTTTAACTCTACCCACCAAGTCTCCGGTATGAATAAAGATGCAGACAACGGGATGAGGTCACCTACTGCATATTAGTTATTGGTAGCCAATGTTATAAACATGTTTGCAGGGGTTACACAAATTCTGTATTGTGATCAATCTTTCAAGTAATTTCTATTACCTGAAAAATATTCATAATTTAGTTATTTTTATTAATACTTTACATGCACTTAACAGAAATGGCGATTAACCCTCCACATTAATTTCATTGACTTTGAAAAGGTCATTGACAGAGTTGACTGAGAAGTAATTTGGAAACTACTTCAACACGATGGTGTGCAGTGCCTAAATCTTTATCAACCTCATTCAACAGCTAGCCATATGACAATGTCGCGTGTCAGGTGATCCCCAATGGAGAACTCAGCGAGGAGTTGGAAGTGAATACAGCAGTAAGACAAGCTAGCTGCCTATTATCATTAACGAGGATATTCTTAATTGTGGTGTACTGGATTATGGGTCAAACTGTGGTTATTGAGAAGACAGGGATACGCTCCGCTGACTAATAAGAAGACTCTAAGAGTTCTGGATTTAGCGCGTGAATGATTTATCTCTAATATTACCCAAACCCGAAGACTTCTAGGTGAAAACCAACAAAGTGGCAGGATAAGCAACAAAGACAGGGCTTCTACTGATCATAGAGAAGATGGAGGTGGTGAAAATCACTGACCAGCAACAATAATCAGTGCCAATCACTGTCAACGGAAGAAATTTCTTCACTTATCTAGGAAGCACGGTTTCAACCACAGGTGGAGATCACAAAAGCACTTTCAACAGATTGCAAACTTTTATCAACAGCTGCCTTCGTCTTATATTGAAGATCCATTGGCCAGCAAGAATAAGCAACAAGAAACTATGGGAACATGACAACCAGTAACCTATCTTTCAACAAATATGTTGGAGAAAATGGTGATGGACTGGGCACACTGAGGAGACCGTCGAATGACATCACCCGCAGTGCAGCCATTACTGGAGTGGGTCGTCCTAGAGTGACATGCCGAAGATCGTGCGAAGAGGAGATAAAAGATTATGGGCAGTCCTGTGCCAAGCTAAAGAGGTAAGCAGAAAATAGAAGAAAGTACACATGTGTTGTTGAAGCCCTGTGTTCCATTCAGAACCCAAGGGAACAATAATAGTAATACTTGATAGAAAAAGCAGATCTGAAAAATGTTCAATAAAAGTTAAATATAAATAAAATACAATAGAAAGAGATTAACTGAAAATGAATAAATGTTTAAAATTAAGGGTGATTTAAAAACGCAAAGCCGAATAAGTATTTAACAGATTTGGGAGGAAAATCTTACCCTTTCCAGATAAGGTGGGGATATATTCAAGCAATAACGTAGGTTACTGTGTACGGTACGTGGACACATTTTCATTATTTCAAAATAGTCATTGTGTTTGTCACTCAGATGAACTGGCCGAATGATATCAAGAGACATGTGCTGTATAATATTTAATATATGTTAAAATTTCATTTATATCGAATACGAATTATATTTAAGATTTTATAAACCTAAATCTCTTGTAATTCCTAAGAGCCTACCCTTTACTTCAGGATACTAATATCCAATTGTCACCGAAATATTAAGTTGGTATCTGCAAAATTACATGTAACAAAACTTTGCCAAATAGTATACTACTGTAATAAATAAGATTCGATATTTATGAAAACGTCATTTATGATGCTAAAGAGAAAGGTGTTGACAAAGAAAACGAATATTGAGTGGAAAATCACTATAATGAGTTATAAAAAATTGGGCATAACAACGAAGAAAATTTTATTTTCGACAAATCGATTTCAAATACTGTACAATAAATCATATTCATACTCAACAGGTAATTCATCGAAAAGACTAAATACTGGTAATTATGTTCTACATGTTTTATATAATGTGAAGGATAATCTATGAGGGAATGAACAGGTGGAGATTAAAAAAACTGAAGTTGGCATTGCGTAACAAGTGTGAAAAATGAATTGACCAGTCTGAATATATAAAATATACCTAAGGTGGTTAAAACACGATAGTGTTTCTGGATTTTCATCATGAGCTGACATTAGTTAGAGAACCACTGGAAAACTGAACAGCTGTTTCGTCCTTGATCGGGACTCTTTAGCAGTATGCACTCACTCACGATAGTTTTTGTATAAAATCTGTATAAGAAATGTAATATCATGAACAGTCAACAATAATAAAATAGCCATAATCACCGATAAACAGTGCGTTGAAGTTTCTGTAGCAATTTGGTTAAGTTCTGGGGTTGGAGTTGCTAGCACCACGCCCCAACCCTCCCTCTTTATCCGGGCCTGGGACCGGCTAGAAAACTAGCCAGCTAGTAATCTAGGCGAGGTTACTGATAAACAGTAAAAAAATAAAATTGAACAAAATAATGATAAGAATGTTACTCTAACCATGGTAAGGTAAGTGAGTATGTGTAACAATTTATAATTCACGGGTCAGTTTTCAGGTGCAGGACAACTACTGATTAGGCTTTGTATAAGTAACAAATTTGAAGCCGTTTCGTGAAATATTTCCTGGAACTCAGTGTTTCACTGCAAAGCAATCACATAAGGGTGCACAAAGTTCAGAGTTGACAAGATGTTAGAAGATAGAACTACTGATGTTCTTTTCTCTTCTAGACATATTTCCAAAATACGTTTACGTACATGACGCTATGCACGGCCTATAAGCCCCACAGGAACAAGTAAATTGATAGATATATTTCGAAATGGCCAGAAGCAGTATCTGGTATGATTAACTCTTCTGTAGATAATATGGCTCACAAAATAGCTGAAACAACCATTTTAAACACTGTAAAGGAGGGTTTTATGAATTTCTGCTTTATTGTCACCTCTAAAATCCAAGTTTACGAGAAAAGGTTTCTTAGGAACATTTGTAGTCTTCAGTGATGTCGGTTTTTATCTCATGTTTTTTTCAATAAATCTAGACAGATATTTGTCCTCTAGTATGATGTCAAGTTAAAATTTCGATTCAGTTTCCATTGTACCTTCCGAACAGACATTTGAATCCTTGAGCGTAAAGGAATTACTAAGTTTCTTTTTGAAGTTGTTGCACATAGCTTGAGAAATTAATAAACTATCTAGTTCTTGTTAATTTCTAACATATTAACCTTTGGATTGAGCTGTCTGGTCGTCTAGTAATTAACACGTCAAGGAATAGAGGAGATAGAATATGTGCAGTCCATGTCACCTGGATTGAATACTGAATAATAGCTATAACAGAAGTACACAAAACTTTTGAAACAGAAATTACCTATTACCAAATCACTTTTCTCGCTTACAATATATGGCTTTACAAAATGAATGCTGAATCTGGTTTAGAAACACTTTTTAGTGTAATAGAAGGATGATACTCAATCAAAACTCAACACCTTATTAACCAAATAAAGAGATCCTTCTTCTATAACTTCATTTTGTTGTTTTAGAAACCCAGTTACATAGCTTGTTTTTTAACTAAGTTACCGGAACTGATCATTCATGTACCAGACTAAGAGCCACAATTATCCTGTTAGAGGTGATGATTGAACCCAGTTGCCTAGGCTGACAGTGAAACAGCAGGACTAGAACAAGTGAGCCATAGGCTGCAAATTGGTCTCTTAAATCAATGAGCCGCATCTCCATAGTTACAGTTGGATAAGCAGTCTTTCAAAACTGTAAGAAATAGATTCAAGTGATAAGAAACATTTTGTGGAAATAAATACACTCATTCTTAATACTCTGTCGAATTCTTTAAACAGGTACTTCCTCGTACCCACAAAATATGCCAAATAAAACGCCAATAGAAAATTTGATCTTAAATATAAGAATTCACACAAGAAAGTTTGATAGGACACGTATTCAAAGTGAAATTAAATGGAAGTGTTAGTATATCAAATGCATAAGTAATCATTATGTTAAGAAAAACCAGTTATCTGAAATATATATTTGTTCTGTGATACATACATTCCTGTATAGTAAAACTAAACTTCTTACGGTATCATGTTACAATTATTACCAACAAGGAAAATTATGACGATGTCTCCTTCAGCTGTCCTCTGGAATTGTATATTTATGTTTACAACGAAATGATTAGAACTCAATCTTCACTAAACATCACAAGGTCTAGTCAGAATTAAACACAAAACACAGTTATGACCTGTAAGCAGGTATGGAGTCTGGAACAGTATGGTTGTAAACTTTTTGTTAGATGTTAAAAACGGAAACATTGTACACAACTTTTGTTTAAAACGACTCATTGCAAAATGTACTTAACTTTGAACCACAATCTAAAATCAAGTGTGCTACTCGACTCTTCATCTTCTTACTGGTCCACACTGTCTACTTTCTTCACTACTAACTGTGCTTTGTTCCTTGGATTTTGCAGGAACCTCTCATCCCCACCTGAATAGTATTCTACTACTGATACACAGGTTTACTAGTCGACACGACTGCAACAGTGAACGCTTCTGTGGATTATATAAATAATTTGTAGCAGCGTACTTTATCTGTATCACAAAGTAGCCATTAATTTCTAGAGCTCATTAACTGTATTTTTATAATATGCTGTTACTATACTCTTTCATTAACTTGAATTTTTATGCTGATACTTTGTACTGTTACCGAACTAGCTGTTAATTCCTCTACACAAGTTTCTTCAAAATGAAGTGATAAATGCACATATTTCTGATACGTTTTAATGAGCGAATATTCTCAAAAACAGCAAATTGTTAATTTTTTGTTATATGAATTTCACAAATTAGGAAATAATTATCTATGTGTATCAATCAAAATGACTTAGTGTCACATAAAAAATGTAGACATCATAATCTAAAACTCTTTTCT